AAGTCAATGAAGCACAGGTGGCGTTTGAGGAGCATACCATTTGCAAGTGCAGCAGGCTGAATAGCAGAGACAAGGGGGATGTGCGGTTGATGTTGATATGCTGGTTGATGTTTGGGTGAAAAGTCAACTCGAAAATGAGAACTGCTGGCGGGTTGAGCTAACGGCCTGGTTGCAGCATTCCAGTAAGTGAAAAGCAAAGAATTCCGTTCCCAGACTTTTACCAAAGTCCAATTGATACGAGTTGGTCAAAGAACTCCCGAGAAGTAACACAAGCGGCTGCTTTTCACTGCGCATCCCAGGTGTACGAAAAACGCGCGCATATCACTTAGCCATTGAGAAGGTAGTGGATTCAGAAATCAAACGGAATTATCAGAACAAGCTCCGAACGGTACGATGTCGGAAAATATATCCAAAGCGCTGTCCAAAGCCGGAACGTCTGTTGCGGTACGACCCAGCCAACCCCATCCAAATAAAAAAGTCGTTCAGGTGAAGCACACTTTCGGTGCCTAACTGCCATGCCACCCGATGGTTGCAAGAGGGCTGGGATACTGCCAGGTTGCCCAAACCTAGACAGAGAAAGCCGAGGAGCAGAGGTCGGGATCCAACCACGGACCTTCCGGTCAGTAAATTTGCGCTCTAACCACTGAGCACTCTCGCCCCCAGCGAGCGAAATAATCAGAGACAAAAATGGCTCCTTGAATTGTAGCAAAGCCAGGACGTTTCGACTACTGGGCATAGTATTTCGACCAGCAATTCAGCTGACCACCTGTTACCTCCAATCCAGAAACCTGGCTTTCAACAGAGAGGCGGACCCTGAATATTGAGCAGCCTTCAGCCTTAGAAGTGCCCGAGTGTATTTCCCAACGCAAGCGTCATCGTGCTGATGGTCCTGACGACCGTTAACTTGCTATTTCGTAGGGTGGCGATAGACTTCTCAGCCAGTTCCTGTCTAGCCTATTAGGGTCTATCTTGGAAAAAGAGACTGTCCAAGACCACTGGGGTGAATCGATAGTAGTGCCCACTTTCAATGCTTCTGACATCACTGATTTTTCGATGTCTTGCAGTGGCACGCTAACCATTGACCCGTAAGAATCAAGCGGGATTTCGACCGGGCAGAGCCTGCATTGACCACGTCTTCACATTCCGTCAGGTGTTACAGCAACACTATACGTACAGGAGACCCACAAACCTGGTATTCACTGACTTCAAGGGTGCGTTCGATTCTGTTGATCGGTTAGTGCTGTTAACTACACTTGCTCAACAGGGTATGCTCCAGAAGCTTTTAAATATAATCCAATCCCTATATTCAGATAGTTCCGAGTGAATGAGAGTGCATGGTGAGCTCAACTACAC